CGAGAGGGGAGGGCCAGATTCTGAGGCTCTGAGCTTTGCTGGGTGTTTAAAATAGACTCAGGATTTATTTATTTTCTTTTTAGTTTTATGGCAATTAATTGGCTATTGATTGGTTGGAATGTTCAACTCTCCATTTCCTCAAATACAATAAAATAGTTTCATTAAAATGTATTCATGCTTGAAAATAAGGGAGCCATTAAATGGTTTCCTTTCTGTTCCACTCCAAGGGAAATGCGCCATTTGTAAATCAAAAATCCATCATCCAAAATACTTGTTCCTAATGATGCTTTTGGAGAAGATGAGGGACGTGGCCATAAGCAGGTGATTTGGGGGACAAGGGCAGCTCAGCAGCCTAGGTGGGCCCAGTTTATAGCAGGGGAAGCTGCAGTGTGGCCTCCTTCTGCTGGGCCCCAGGTCAGGGAGGGGGAACGTGACTGCCAAGTCACCCCTACCCTGCTGTTTCACCTGCTTGTCTCCCCTGACCCTACTCAGAGCCACTGGAAGCTGATGGGCAGGTTTCTGCCTCTGTCTCTCCTGCCACAGGCCAAGTTCACTGCCTGAGACCAGCTCCATTTGGGGAGATTCCCTCAAAGAGATAAGCAGCTGCATTTTCTCCTTGTGCTGCTCAGGGGTCCAAGATGTGGGAAGAAGAATATCTAGATTTACTGAAGGTTGGTTCTGTTTATGCCTGGACTAAAACTCTAGAATGGCAGTGACAAGATTCTGAGGTCTCCTTCCAACCTGGGGGTATCTGGGGATGGGGCCTCAGTGCTGAGGAATTACTAGAGAAGGAAGGAAAGACTGGTGTCTGCCTGCTCCTGGTAGACAGCCTGTTTCAGAGAAGCTGCTGCCTCTTCAAGAGAGCAAGTGGGCAGGGGGCTCACTGCCTGGCCTCTACAGCCGGCCCCTCGGGACCTGGCACTGCTGGAGGCGCTGCTGTGAGCTGACAGTGGGGAGTACAGATCAACACTGTGGCTCCCCATAAATATGCAAGAGGGTGTCTTGAGGTCCAGGGACAAGGGGGCAACAGGGCATGGGACCGCAGGGGCTGCCGGGAGGTGGGGCAGACTGTAGCTAGGAGTCGTGGCCTGACTGTCCAACTTCCAATAATGTGTTTTGTTACCTCTTGAGAAATGCACTTGCCTTGGACCTCTGTGAGGCCAGAAGAACTAAAAGAATAAATTTACCAGGAGGGCTGGTGTACATGCCTGCGAATCATCAGAGGCAGGCCCTCGATGGGTGACAAGACCTCTTAGCAGGGCCACTGTGAGCTGGTGCAGCCCAGAGTCCTATGGGACCTACTCACGCCAGCTGGGCCTGGCCTCTCCATGGGCCTGGATTTGTCTCTACCCTCCTGGGAGGCTGTATCTCAGACATAGCTTGTTTCTGGGTTATCTGTCTGAGTGGTTGGTTTGTTTTTAAGATTTGCTCTCCGTGGCTTGGAGCTAAATTCTGCCTGAAATGTCATCCAGAGGGGGTGGCTGGAGCCATAGGCTGCCAAAGGCAGGGCAGTCACCTGGGGTATGACTACTCATAAAGGAAATCATCCCTCAGTGCCCTATGGCCAAATCCAAGCCTATTCCCTGTGCATGTGAAAGGCCCCACCTTAAAGCCAACAGCTCCCTCCATCCCCACCAGCTCTGACATTCTGTTTTACGCCAGCTACAAAGCCCATGGTCTGCGCGAGCCCAGATAAGGCCCAGGAGGACTGTGGGGGCTGGGTGTGCCCGTTTCTGCACGGACTTACTGGACAACCTGAAGCATATCCCTCACCTCTCTGGGCTCCTGTCTCCTCCACATCTACAACAAGGACAAGAAGGTGAAGAAGAAAGGGGCATTTGACAGAGACCAGGGTCACAAGCCGGTGGCCAGCAGGTCAAATGTGACCATAGACATATTTTTCTCTTGGCTGGCAGAGCATTTTACCTTTTCATACTTGAATACCACTGGGCGGGGGGACAAGCACCCTCTGGGGCGTCTCAGGCCCCACCACACTGTACTGCCTTGTGCCCTGCCCTCCTCTGGCTGGCCTGGGAAGCAGTTAGTTCAGGGCCCTGGAGATTGCGATCTCTGTTTGCTGGGCCTGGGACACCCTGATGGCCCAGGCTTGGACACTCTACGCACAGCCAGGCCTGGATTCAGTTCAGGGAGAACTGAGTAATGGGGAGAACAAAGTAAAGGGGAATGAAGGGACAGCTCATGACATGGGCCCCCTGGGTCCTGGGATCCAGAGCTGGGCCTATGTCCAAGGCCTATCACAGATTACGGGGTGGACTTGGAAAGCTCCAACCCCCGAGTCTCAGAGTACAGGAGGAAAAGGCTCAGGATAAAACCTCAGAAGTGCTGCTGTAAATTTGGGCAAGACTCTGCAGGATGCAGTTTATGGGAATCAATTTGGACCAGAAAAGCCACAAACCCCCAGGTCCCTAGGTCCGGCCAGCCTCTGGGTCCTTGTTCTTTTTTTCCTTGTTTGGGTCTGGAGGGTTTCTGGGGGAGTGAGAGGTACGTATCTCTAAGCCATATATTCCCATGACAGGAGCACAGGTTGTGGACAGAGAATGGGGCCTAGAGATCTAACAATTCCCTTCCCTCTGTCTTGCCATGTGAGCCCCAAATGTCAGTTTCCTCCTCTGTAAAATAGGCATGATCTCTGCCCCATGGGATGGGGGAGGACTGCAAAGCACCGTACAACACCAGTTATGAAAGGACTGACCCTAACTAAGGCGCCTTGGAAAAGGGATGTTGGGTTTGATATGTCATCAGATTTCTCTAGGGTGGAACTAGACTAATGGTATGAAATTTTTCATAAAATCCACAATGTCCTTTTCAAAAAGTCAGAGCTGGAACACAGGGCTGAAGGCCTGTGAAAAAAATGCCCCCAGGCCTCCAGCCGCAATGCTGGTGAAGCCCTGGACTTGTGTTTTCCATTCAGAATTCCATTCAGATTTCAGAATACTCAACGACTTGTGTCCTTTGGAAACCCCCTCACCAAGCTCCCACGGCTTTACCAGACAGCGTGGGTGCTCTGAACCGGTGAGAGCAGGTAACTGTGAATGAGGACATCTGTGTGCATCCGGGTGCTCTTGTGCTTCTGCCTGGCAGCCCAGGAATCGTGTGGTTGTCTAATAAATACAAATTCAATCTGAGGACCAGCAGAGCCTCAGGTGAGAGATGAAGGGCCTGGATGGAGCTCATTTCAGGGGCAAGAAGAGGAACAGCATGGGGAGAGGGGGCTGCTGGAGGCCAGGTGGGCTTGGTGGAGGGAGGGTGTTATGTGACTTAGGCAGTTGGTTCAGGGGAGGCTGAGCTCCTCACAACGGCCTAGAATCACATGGAAGGACCAGGGTCCAAAGATGTGGGTGCACATCCTTCTAAGAGAAGTGTGACAGGGGGCAGAGGCCCAAGACTCCTGACCCACTACTTCCTGCTAAAAAGGGTGAAGGTAGGAGTCAGGTAATGTACCTTCTCCTCCCTTACCTGGCAGGTGGAGGCTGGAGCCAGTTTATCCTGGCTCCTGGAGATGGGCTCTGACTCCAGTTACTTCGCTCTTTTTGCCCAGTAGGTTCCAGAGGGTGGGTGTGAGATTGGTGGGTCTGGATGACAGTTCTAACACCCCCTGCCACCCAGTCTGGGGCCCAGAACCATCTCCTACTACCCTCACTGTCAAACTCTCTCCCCAGGGCTAAGATGTAGACAGATAGGGTAACCAGGATCACCATGTATTGGGAGTCAGGGGCCATAGTCCCACTCCCACCTCTGCCGGTCACTGCTTGTGGACTCCACCTTGCTGAGCCTCAGTTTTCCCTTCTGTCCCACCACCCTGTAGGGGCTTGAGAGGAAAAACACTTAGTGCTGGAATGAGAGCATCTGTTTTGCTCTGCTCTGTCTCCCTGGGAGGTCCTGGGCTTCACTAAGCTGGGCCTCAGTTTCCCCTAAGGGAAGCTGAACTAGGTCTTTGTCAAGCCTCTTATGATTTCCATGCCTCTGGGCTTTCTTGTTTCCTGGTAGGACTCAGGTACCACCCCACATGCTTGCTCAGGAGTGAAGGGCCTGTCCCAGTCAGCCCTGCTATGGCCTTAGCTCCCTGCAAAATAGGAAGGGAGAGAGAGAGCTGCTGGGTGACCCTACAGGTGACTCCCTTATCCCAAGGCAGCCAAGGCTCAGAGAGGTGAAGGGTCTTGTCTGAGGCCCCACAGCAAAGCAGAAGAGTGGCTGGTATAAAACCTGCCTGACCTTGATGGCCCCCATCCAGGCTCTCTCTGCCATCCTGGTGACATACAGGTATCAGTAGACATACACTGTCACATGAGATGACCAAGCCCACTGTCATTGTTGCAATTCAGCCTGGATTTGAATACAGGCTCCACTCTGAGTTGGCAAGAGAGACTATGTGGGGAATTGAGGCCCCAGGCATTAGATATGGTGGCACCTGGCACCCTCATCTCGAAACCAGTCCCAGGTCACTTGCCACTTCCTCATTGCTTTCCTGTTTTCCTCCGCCAAGAGGCCTTCCTCTGTCCCTAAATCTTCCTACGTGGCTTCCTCTGACCATCCCAGCCCACAGGGAGTTCTCCAAGTCCCCTCTCTGAGTTCCCGTGGTCCTTGGCCATCACTGACCATCACAGCCCCTTTGATCAACAGATGGGCATGCACTGTGCAAAATTAGACATCTGCCCCCAGCTGCATGCTAAGCTCCATGAGGACAGGGAGGGACTGCCCGAGAGGATATGCAGAGGTTCTGGCTGGTTGCTGTAGGCTGTTTGTGGTCCTCAGTGCAGGGGAAAGTCCTTTAAGTTAACCATTGTCTACTTGGCTAGGACAGGCTTGCCCAGAATCTGCTCACAGGGGTCCTCAAGGGAAGGTAAAGTGTCCATGGTGGGTGTCCAAAGTGATTTGGGCCTGAATATGCCTCAGAAAACACATAGCTCCAGGGGCTGAGGGAGTCCGAGCCTCGGGTCCCTCTTGGCTTGGATCAGATGATCTCCTGCACCCCATCCAGCCCTTGGAGGATATCTTGCTTTGCACAGTAGCTGAGGAATCTGAGGAATCTCCCTGGCAGTTCTCTTTGAATTCTTTGATCTGGAAAAAAGCTGTTAATACTCCATTGGCCCCAGGGAAATGGAGACAGGAAGCCAGGGCTTCTTCCAAAAGTGTGTTCCTCTTGGGGAGTCTCAGGGGAGCCTACAGCACAACCAGCCCAATGAGACTCCTGGTTGAAACATGAAAGAAGTAGAGATGAGCAGGAGGCTGGGGGGGGGGGTGTCGAGGTGGGCATCCTCTGGTGTCAAAGACAACTCTGAGCTCACCTGGCAGATGGTACCCAGGGCACAGTGGATGCTCCGTGCACAGGTCTAAGATGTCCCGTGATGCACCATGAGTGCAGGATACATAATGAGTTGGGCAGTCTGCTAGGTCGGACCCTTGGGCCCACAGAAAAGTGAGAAGGTATTTACACGGGTGCTGCTAAAGCAAGTAAAGTAAGGTCTCCTTCCCAGGCCTGGCAGTGTAGACAGACAGGTGCTCAGATGGCTGGGGGACTGGCAGGCCAGGCTGGGCTGTAGTTGTCTGTACAATGGTCCATTGGTTCTCAGAGACTCAGTGGTCACTGGGAGAGGCTCATCAATTGGCTCTCAGAAATGGACAGGCATCTGGAAGTCCAATAGCCTTGCCATAAAACCCAAGTCCTGACAGGAGAAGGGGAAGGAGGGAGTTTCAGACGACTGGGGGAGGTTACTGGGGATGGTCTCAGCAGGCCCCTCTGGCTGTCTTCAGAGGGACTGAAGGCTATCACCCTCAATGATATGTGACACAAGTGCTTGGCGCCCACCTGGCTCCAAGGGTCAGTGGCGGTCGTAGGCAGTGGCAGCTGCAGGTGGGGCAGCTCCTCGGGCAGCAGCACTGTAATAGTAGGGGGAGCCTGGAAGAGATCAGAGAGAGGACTGAGGTCGGACCTGGGATCCCCTTCCCACCAGTCTTCCCCACCTTTCCACCTCCCTCCCCCCTTCTATCAGTCCAGGCCACCATCCTCTCTCACCGAGATCTCTGTCCTGGTTTGTTCCCCAAACTACAAGACCAATCATGGCCTGCTCTCAAGATTGCAAGGCTCCCTGACACCTAGAGCTGGGGTCAGCAGCACTCCTACCAACTACCTGTTTTAGTGAATCACATTTCACTGGAATACAGACGTGCCCATTTGTTTACAGATTGTCTGTGGCCACTTTCCTGCTACTATTTCAGAATTAAGTAGTTAGTTGCAACAGAGACTCTATGGCCCTGAAATCCTAAAATAGTTACTATCTGGCCCTTTACAAAGGTCGATTGCCAGCCTCTGTCCTGGAAGATGAAATATATTCACTTTTTCATTTGGCCTCCAGGTGCTTGGTGACCTAGTCCTTCTGGACTTACCTCCATAGGTAACCCCCTGCCACTCTCTACACACCATACTCAAGCCCAGCTCAGCTTCATACAGCTGTTTCATAATGCTGTACATAATGCTGACAGCTATCACCCTTTCTCTGTGCCTGGCACTGCCGTGTCCCGTGCAGGTATTAGCTCATTTAAACCTACGGAGGTAAGCCAGGCACAGTGGCTCACACCTGTAATCCTGGCCCTCTGGGAGGCTGAGGTGGGTGGATCCCTTGAGCTCAGGAGTTTGAGACCAGCCCGAGCAAGAGCAAGACTTGGCTCTTTAAAAACAAAAGACAAATTGTATATAAACCTGAAGGGTAGGCACAGTGGACCTATGTCATACTCTTATGCCTCTGTGTCTTACCCTACACCGTGTACCCACACCTGGAATGCCCTGTCTGTAATTTCTAAGTCTCCTTCAAGTCCCAGCCCCCATCTCTTCCCCCAGGGAAGCCTCCTGCCCTGAGTCAGACTACTTTGCTGGCTGGACCAGGTGCTGTGATTCTGTGCCCCACAGAGCCAGGGGCCGGGTTCTACTCCTCTTGGAGTCTGGCCCAGCTCCCAGCCTGGACCCTGGCCATGGCACATGCTCAGCTGAATTGATTATGTCAATGCATAACAGCACCGAGTGAGCAAACAATAGTGGAGACCCTCCCTCATTGAGTCATTCATTCACTAATTCATTCACTCCTCATTTCCTGACCTCCTGGGTGCAGGGCTGGGCAATAATGGGGCAAACTCAGCTGGACACAGGCTGGCATTCAGAGTCAGGAAGGGGATCTGAGCTCTGTCAGAGAATGCAGCTCTGAGAATAGCAAGATTGTTCTGGCAAGTCAGCTTCAGGAGGAAGTGGGGTCAGGAAGTGGAGGATGTGGGGAATGGGGAGGGGTCTCTGTGATATAGGGTAGGATACAGGCTCCCCTCTCGTGGCCCTGGGACATGTACCCTGGCCCCTGCTCCCTCCAGGGATGCTTTCTTTGACTACGTCCTTTGGATGGAGTGGGCAGGAGCCTTGCTCTGTGTTAAAACTCTTCCTCAGGGAGGAGGGAGTCCAGATTCTCAGAACCACCAAGGAGAGCCATAAGACTGATTTCCTTACAGGTTGGGGAAACTGAAGTCCAATGAACCAAAGTCATGTGCCCAAAGCCACAGAGCCTCTCGGTGCCAGGAAGGAATTCAGGCTGTCTGCTCCCAGCTCAAGACTCCTTCAGTTTCAGGCGTATACACCTTTCTCTGGAGGGACGTGTCCATTTAGGGGACCCGCCAAGCTTCTTGGTTCCCCAGGTGAAGTGACTCATACTTACTCCACAATCTAACCCAAGTCCAAATCAAATCCAAACCAAACCCTGGCAATCCTCCCAGCTGCAGGTTGAGCATCCCCAATCCAAAAATCTGAAATGCTCCAAATCTGATATGACATTCAAAGGAAATGCCTGTTGGAGCAGTTTAGATTTCGGATGTTTGGACTGAGGAAGCTCAACTGGTATAATGCAAATGTTCGAAACTCTGAAATCCAGAACAGTTCTGGTCCCAAGCATTTCAAATAAAGGACACAGGTTTACAAGCTGTGCTCCTCCGCTTCTTGGCTGTGAGGCCTTCAGCAAGTGACTTCGTTCCCTTGAGCCTCGGTTTTTTTGATCTAAAAGAAGCAGGTCACAGTGGGGTTACTGTGTGGGCATCGTGAGAGGAGGATGTGAAAGAGCTGTGGAAAAGGTCGCTTTTCTGAGTGACCTATATCCATTAACTCCTTTAATTTCCACAACACTATCTGGTAGAAACTATTACTGTCCCATTTTACTGATTAAAAAAATGAGGCCCAGTGAGGTTAAGAAACTTGCCAAGGCTATATAGCTAGCATGTCATCAAGAGGGTAGGATGGGGCACTTCCATGTATGGGACCTCCCCTCTGAACTCAGCCTCAGCCCTGAGTGGCACGTACCCTATGGCTCCCTCCCTGTCCTCCCTCATGCCACACCAAGACAGTGTGGCCACAGGTGGCGATGATAGTGCTGAGGCCGGCAGGTTGTCCTGTTCTGGAAGGCACAGACACCAGCCCCAGGCCTAAGTATTTTCAGAGATGGTCTGCTGCCTCCTTTGTCTCCTCCCTGGCAGGAGTCCTGACTTAGAGATGCCTGTGGCCATCTGCTGTTCTCTCTTCTGTGAGAGGAGGACAGCATGGGAATAGTCACTCACGGGGCATTTGCAGTGCCAGCCCTGCATCCTGCATGAAGCAGGCCCAAGAACAGGGACAAGTGTCTGCAAGGGGGACCATCCCTGCAGGCCTGGGCATGGGACAAGAGCAGGAAAATCACAGAGGCTAAACCCCCAACCGGCCCCCAGCAGCGGGAAATGGAAGCCAAGCCTGCCAGTAGGGTCCCCAGCCCTGCCGTCCAACCCCCACCTGGCTGCTTTTGCCCTGAGCTCTGACTCACACGGCTCCCAAGGGCTCTCTGCCAGACTGTCCAACAGGCTTCGGCATGAGAGTTTGCATCTGCTGTGAGAAATGAAAACATCGCCTCACAAAGCACTCTGTCTTCTTGGTGCCCGTTAGACCTCTGTCTAGAATAAACTTGTCTTTCCTTGTGTCATTTTTCCTCTCTAATTCACATTATCATCAATTTCCTGCTTGACATGGTCATTCCAGCTCCACTCTGCCTCTAATCCCTTTGCATGGGCCATGGGCACTCCTGTCCTAATCCTAATTGACTGTCAGGACTTTCTCCCCGACAGCCCTGCACCTACGTCTCTGGAGCCCCTGGGCCCCCCATGATGCTGAGTCACAAATTCCCTGGCTGGGGCTTGTGGGGTGGGTGCTGTGGGATGACAGTGCTGGGGCCGGCAGGTTGTCCTATTCTGGAAGGGACATTCTCTGGAGATGTCAATGGGCAATGAGCCCTTTTGCTTCCTCTGATGGCACTGCTGACCCCCATGTTTTTGGGAAGGAGGCTTCAACTGGACCAGCCAGGGTGTGGCTAGCGTGTGCGAGGGGTATGAGAGTGGGAGTGAGGCTATGAAGGTGTGAGCATACGCATGTACACACTCCACAGGCTGCCCCACCTCCGACCCTGCTGTCCCTTTGCCACACCTGCCTGCAGAGTTTCTTCCCACTTCTCTATCTTTTGAATTCCCAGGCAAATAAATTAGGGCTACTGCCAACCTATGGGACACCTTGCAAAAATAGAAAAAGGTACACTTTCTGAGCAGGTACAGCACTGTGCCAGGGCCCAGGGCTTTGTGCCATTCACAGGTGGATTTGTAAGTCCCCACTTGTCATTTTGAGCAGTACACAGTTACATGTGGCAGTTCTGGGTCAACATGACCTCCTTAGGGGTCATATCCCCAACAGAAAGAGTCACTTCCACAAGCTGATGCCCAAGTCTCCTTTGTGCTACATCCCTGGGGTCTCCCAGCAGCACTGGGACCAGGGTCCTGACTCTTAGGCTCAGGCCTCAAGACCCAGCCCCTCCCCTCACTCCTGCTAGAAGATCCTGGTTCAGGAAGACCATGGACAGCCCATGCCTCCTGTTTCCTGACACTGACCACTGGGTCATCTTAGAGACTCTGGTTAAGAAAAAGCACCAAATAAGCAGAAATGTTGATTCAATATTTAAAATTTTTTTTTGACCAAAAAAAAAAAAAAAAAAGAAGTCTGAAAAGAGATTAATCCACAGATTGTGCACCTCCCAGAGACCACTGATAATAAGAGCCTGGTGCTCTTCTGCAAGGCTCAAAATCTCCCCTGCATAGTGACCTGGAGCACTAATTGGCATTGTTCTTATTTCACCCACTAGTTACACACAATCCATCAAAATGCTTTGGACAGCCTGGGGCACAAGAGCAGGGAATGGTGGTATCAAGAGAGTAGTAGCAGATCAGCGCCTGTGGCTCAAGCAGCTAAGGTGCCAGCCACATACACCTGAGATGGTGGGTTCGAATCCAGCCCGGGTTGCTATTTTTTGGCTGCAACCAAAAAATAGCCGGGTGCTGTGGTGGGCACCTGTAGTCCTAGCTACTTGGGAGGCAGAGGCAGGAGACTCGCTTAAGCCCAGAAGTTGGAGGTTGCTGTGAGCTGTGAGGCCACAGCACTCTGCCCAGGGCCACAGCTTACGACTCTGTCTCAAAAAGAAAAAAAGAGAGTGGTGGTATCCACACCAAGTGTTTGTCCTAATCACCAAACAGGGTTTGGGAAGGGGTCAAAGCCAAGGCTTCACACACCTATGGTATGGCAACTTGAGCTTGAAGACACTAGTTTATTGCTTTTCTGATGAAGCCTAGTTTCTCAGTCCTAAAATAATTAAGGATCCAAGGAATTAATGGACTCTTCCTTAAGGAGGCCTTGCTAAACTGGACGGACAAACCTAGGTGGTTTCAAAGGGCTCTTCCACAGCTGACCTTTTAAGGTTTCCACTGGAAAATTCTTAGCTTGCTGCTGAGGGCGGGATCAGTGTTGCTGCCTGCAGGCTGATTGGCTGATTCTAGCCCCCAGTGGTAAGTGATATCTATGAGCCCAGGTCTCTGCCTCCTGTTCCAGAACTTTTAGCTCCAAGGGGGCACTCACTAGCTGGTTTCACATAAGTCCATTTCAACATAACAAAAGACTCTTCTTGGGCCTTTGAGGACTAGGTTAGTCCTGCTTGGTCTTTGGGGTGGCCCAAATATCCTGATGATGTCCACAGATCCAACTGGCCCCCAATGGGCAATCTTTCAGTCCAGCTGTGGTAGAGGGTAGGCATTGACTAAGCTGTGAAGGGCATGCCTCCACAGGCCTTCCAATCTGTATCCAGTGGAGTTGGCTCTGGAGATGTCCATGGCAGACATTACTAATCAATCTCTGGGCCTCAGAGTCCCTATCAAGGCAGCCACTACCAATCAATAGAAGTTGATGCTTTTACTGCCTCTTATTTAGAGAGTTCTCACCTTAGTATTTAGGTATTTACTTCTTAAGAAGTATAAGTTATTCATGGGCAGGCACTTTCCCCACCTTCCTCTTTCTTTCGGAACACCCTTTCTTTGCTGTTTCCCTGCATGCCATTTTTCCTACACATCTGGGGGAGGAACAAGGGCCCTGGCAGGGCTGGAGCGTGCCTACTGCCCTAAGGCTCCATGACAACCCCATAGTCCATGTGTCTGGGCAAGCTAACCACCCCCCACAGTGACCAGACCAGGACGTCAGGGCACTCTGGCCCAATGAGGAGGCCTAGCTGGGGTAGCTGATAGCTGGGGGCCCCACAGGGCCTCAGCCAGTACTCACCAAGCAGCCCCGGATTGGGGAACCTCCAGGAGTCATTGTACGAGGAATACTGAGGGTGGCTGTAGGGACTTCCAGAAAACTCGCTCCCTGCATGTAGTGGGTGGAGAGAGAAACAGGAACCAAATATCAAATTAAGCTCAGAAAAGGCCCTGGGTCCCAGCCAGCCTGACTGCCAATGGCACCTGCCTCTTACCAGAGCCACAGGTACTTTCTGTAACCAACAAAGGCAGGTTAGGCCCACACCAGTATAGTGTGGACAGCTGTCACTGGCATTGTCTGTAATGCCCCTAAAACCCTTTTTCTCAGCGGGAGTGAGTACCAGTGCCTCACACGTGCACCATGGAACTTCTGTGTACCAGGTGTTCCTTGGCCCATTTTACAGATGAGAGGGCTGATGCCCAGGGTCTCTCATGAAATGGTCTTGACATACTTTGCCAAGTCCAAAGCCACACACTGCTTAGTTCACCAAAGCCACACACTGCTTAGGCCACTCAGGGACCCTAGCGTATGTTCAGTCCACTCCCCGTGAGTTCCCTGAGTGTCGCTGGATAAAGAAGCCAAAGATAACCTCAACCTAGTGTAGCCCTCTGTGCTGTGAACCCTGGTGGCTGTTCCAGGGGCTTCAGTTCAGTCAGAGAGATGAGGCATAAATCCAGGCCCTCTGCCTGGAGGAGGCAAAGGGACATTTGCTGAAATGAAGGGACAAGCCAAAGGGCTCAAAAAGCATGGAAGAGGAAGTCAGGTGGGACCTTGTAGGCATGAGGAAAGGGGGAGCCATTAGCACCATGGGGTGCCAGGGTGCAGCGGTGCCAGGGAGAGAACAGCACTGGGTGTGGTGGGCCCAGTTGCTCTTGGAGTGTGACTCTTGCCCCTGGCACTTCCTGGGCCCTTGCTGCCAGCCCCTGGGGAGTCCTTTACCATCCAGCAGGTCACAGGAGAGTTCACAATTCTGTCCCTCACAACCTGGCTGCCTTGGTGTTGTGGTGAGTAGGACCTGTCAGTTTCGCCGCAGACTCCCCTACACTTTGCTGGGTCCTTCAGTGCCTGGCAGAGAGTGTTTTCGGGAAGGCCCTGGACTGGGGTGTGGAAAGTTGGCTGAATGGGTCTCTAAAGCCGCCAGGTATGAAGCACGTGGGACCTTCCCAGTGGGAGCTGACAGGAATTACACAGCCCCAGGGGACCACCTGCGGCCCAAATGTGCCTCCATGATGCCCCCTCAAGCATGCCTATAAAGGGTGAAGGGTCAGAGCCTGCAGAACGGACCCACCAGAACTCAGGGCCAAGAGCCATGCTCTCTCTCCTCCAGCCAAACCCGAATGTGTGGCTGCAGGGCTTGCTGAGGTGGGGCAGGAATAAGGAGGCAGGCTTGAGGGGCTGGCTGCTCCCACCCCTGGGCCTGGCCAGGCTCCTCCCCACCTCCACAGGCAACCACAGGCAGAGCAGGTCCACACACACAGGCGCACACTCACACACACACTCGCACACTTCTCCCCTGGCCTCTCTGGGGGCCACTCCCAGCCTGACAGGCTGAGCCTTCCAATTCTCTGTTTTTTATGCCTCAGTGGTCAGGGTGTCAGGTTCTGGCGTGCAGAGGGAGAGGATGGTGACAGTGCTGGGCCGCAGCAGCCCAGCCTCGGCATATCCATCAGCACCAGGCACCTCCTCCTCCTCCTCAGGGGCAGGCTGGGGTGAGAGGAGAGACAGAGCAGCTTGGGGAAGGGGGACAGCCACCCTCCATTCCGGGTACCCGTGGAGCTGCCCCATCAGAGGCACTTCTTGACAGCACTGTGCCTGGGGCCAGGGAATAGGGCTATTGTTGCAAAGGCCACCTCTGCATCTCTGTTTAGCAACATTGCTTCTGCTGCCAGGCCCAATGCCAAGGCCATCTCTTCCAGGAAGCCGCCCTGATCTCCAGCTCCCCGAAGTATGAGTCTCAGGTCCATTTGTCTGGGTTAGATAATGTTATCCATCCTCAAACTGACATCGGCTCCTGGAGGCCTGCAAAGGGCCACAAGCAGCTCCCAACTCTTTTAGAGGATGTACCTAAGTCAGTGGGCACCATCCTCCACCCTGTCCCCACCCGACTGGCCTCACAGTACTGAGTACATGGGGACTTGGACACCTCTTCCTCTGGGAAGCACCTCTCCCTCATGGTTCCACAGCCCTGGATTTGCCTTGACCTACATGAGAGTCCCCCTGTGGCATGGGTGTTGTCTAGCCCTGTAGGTCCCTCTCTGTACCTGTGTGTCACACCACTGCCAGCATGACATCCTATCCACAGCAGGCAGTAGGTGCTCCAGAAATCACTTGTAGCTCACGGTCTCTCCTGTAACATGACATGCCCCCCACAGATGTCGCAAGGCTCTTCCCTCACCTCCTTCTAGGCTTTGGTCTTCCCTGTGAAGCCTTCCCTGACCACTGTGTTTAAAAAGAAACTCCTTCCTGGGCAACGCCTGTGGCTCAGTGGGTAGGGCGCTGGCCCCATATGGGTGGTGGGTTTGAACCCAGCCCCAGCCAGCTAAAACAGCAGTGGCAATTGCAACAAAAAATAGCTGGGCATTGTGGTGGGCACCTGTAGTCCCAGCTACTCAGGAGGCTGAGGCAAGAGAATCGCTTAAGCCTAAGAGTTGGAGGTTGCTGTGAGCTGTGATGTCACACACTCTACCGACGGCCATAAAGTGAGACTGTCTCAAAAAAAAAAAAAAAAAAAAAAAGAAAAGAAACCCCTTCCTTTCCTCTTTTCATTATTTTTCTCCATAGAACTTGTCATAATCCAACCTGTATTGTTCATGACACTCATCCTATTAATTACCTGCCTTTTCCACTAGGATGGAAGCCCCATGAGAGCAAGGGGTTTTGTCAGCTCGGGTCTCTATCCCAACCTCCAGTACAGGGCCTGGTATCCAGTAGGCATGAAGAACTATCTGTTGAATGAATGGGAGTTCCCAATTCAACCGAGGACATGCTTTCAGAGCAGATCTCTCTAACTCAGATGATGGCTCCATTGTGCCCACTATCAACACCGATAACCAGGGGTATATTGAGCACCTGTTATGTGCCAGGAATCAAGCCAATTTCTCTGACTCCATTGTCCACACCCCCTCCCATGCTAAGAGTAGCGGTGTTGTGGGCACCCCTAACACAGGCCCCCTGTCCTGTAAGAATGGTGCAGTCTGGTTAAGGGGAGCTTGACCATCTCTGAGGCAGGAGACTGACATAGGGGCTGGTCCAGCCACTTGTCAGGACTCTGGTGGTACACAATTATCTGAAGTGCCACACAGAAAGTAGGCTGAGTTGAGGGACCCTTCATTCCAAGAGATATGGAGAAGCAAGGTCCTCAGTCACCAAGGAAGCTGCCTGCTTACAGATATAGCCTAGCCAGGCCACCAACCTAGCTGGGAAACAGTGTGCTCTCACCAGACCCCATGGACCTTAGTCAGTTTGACACAGAGATAAGGAGCAAGGTTCAAATCCAGGTCTGCCTCTCCCTTGCTCTGTGACCTTCGGCGGGTCACTCCACTTTGCTGTGTCTCAGTTCCCTCCTCTGCTAAGCAGGGGCAGTTAATAGGTTGCCGTAAAGACTATATGATTATTGTGGGAACCAAATGAACTGATATTCAGAGTGCTTGGCATACAGTGGGTGCTCAGTAAATGGGTAATGACATGTAACAATGATCCTACATTGGTCACCAAGGCCTCTTTGACACCCCAAATTTCACCAAACCTGCCTGACAATCCTGTGACACTCACAAGGTGGGTGTAACTGTCTGCATTTTATATATGAGGAAAAAAGCCTCAGAAAGGTGGGGAGACTTGCCCAGGCGAGGAGGCAACTCCACGGCCAACCTCCTGTCTTCCAGCCCAGAATGCTCTCACCCACATGGTGCAGCCTGGATAGGTCAGATCAGGGGACAGCTATAGGCCCTTCCTGTCTGCCAAGCCAGGTGCCCTGGGCCCCCCACCTGATCCTGGCTTCCCTTGGGTCAAGGGTTCCCATCCCCTGCTGCATTTCCCCTCCTTGAACTCACCACTGTCACGGCATCAAATGAACACTCATCTTCCTTCCTGGAACCTCACAAGGACAGCTTAGAAAGTGCAGTTTTTCCCACCCAGAGAAGGCCTGGGGATGCCCTGGGGACACATTCCAAGGTAGAAGGGAGCCTATGAGCCAGGTCTTGAAGGACAGGTAGGATTTGGGTGGCCTGTGGGCTTGGCAGAGTGTAACCTTGGATGGCCCAGTCTTCTGTGAGGCCCCAGGAGAGGCGGCCACAGGACAGAGTGGGTATGGGGCAGGAAGGCAATGTTTTCCCCATTAGTGCTAGGACCAGTGAAGGCTTCAGACCAGAGAGTTCTGGAATCTGGAGGACAGGCTGGAGGAGCAGGGCCTGCAGTCAGGAGCCTCCCCAGGACTCTGCTGCCACATCCAAGCATCAGGGACCCAGCCTGGGAGATGACATAGTTGCAGTAACCACAAGCAGGAATGATGCTCTCAAGTCAGAAAACAAAAGTCCCCGGTTCTGGTTTTTGTTGGGGCCTCCAGAGGTGCACCCAGCAGCCCCACGTAATAAACACCGTTTCTGACAACCCTACAGGCCCCTTGCCACCTTTCAGCCCATAGGTCTAATAACTGACCTATACTTTTAGCATTTCTCAAAAACCCAACCCCTTAAGTTGGGAAACCTTCCATGAGGCCTGACTGGGTGCCAACTCATGCCTGGCTGGCTGTCACTCATGGGCAGTGGCACCTCCATCTGGGAGGCATGCAGCACACGGGCCCACCCTGCAGACAGCTCCTGGTGCTGTCCAGAGTTGGTCACATGTAAACCTCTAAGAACTCTTTCAACAGGAAAACATGCGCCATGATCTTCTCCATCCCCAGTCCCCAAGGATAGAGCAGTGTGTAGGGAAAGCAGGACTAGACGGACCTCCAGTCTCTGAGGCCAGGCCAGGTACTGAGGCCCTTCCCCCTCTCCCCCTGTAAGGTGGGTCCCAGTATAGTGCTGTGGGAGCAGAAGGCAAGCAGGCAGGTGGGCGGGTGCATAGGCAAGACATCGGCATGCTGGTGGCAGGGCCGAGGGCACACTCTG